TCATATGTGGTGAGGTAGTTGAGTCTGTTGGTGTTTATGCTATTCAATGTTTGCTGCCCCATTGGATATGTTTGGCGTTATAGTCTCCTCCAGCTATGAATCGATTACCCAGTGCATGATGGAAATTATCAAAGTCTTGTTTAGAAACGGAGTGTCTAAGAGGACAGTATACTGTTGAAGTGGTGATTGTACCATGGCAATCTTCTATCGCTACGTTTATATCTTGGAGGTAGTCATTCTGGAACGATGGAAGCTCGTAATGCTTAATGCTGGCTTTGATAATAATTCCGGTGTCGCCGTGGCACCCGTCAGTAGCTTTCCTCCGACACAGCATCGTCATTTTACTTTACTTATTCTTCATCGTTAGAATAGTCAACATGTCATCATCGGGTTTCTATCCTTAAATCAATCACTTACTTAACTTATACATACGCATCAGTGTAATTATCTTCTTTACAAAGTTGTTGGAATAAACACTAATTTATACCTGTTAATTCAGTGTAAACTCAATTGAACCACCTCTTTTATCGTAACAGAAATCAGGGGATCGATCAGTTCGTGGCGTCGATTATCTAATCGTAACGGGAGTTTACGACTCCCGTTGACGTGTTTTCTCGCGATCGCATCTCTCCGCGAATGGTCGAAAAAACATCTTCAAAGAAGAAAAAGCAGGTATATTTCGTGCCTAATACATGCGTCCATGTATTTCATTGTCCGGTAAGAGAGAATCTATAATAATCTGGGGTATGGAATGCCACGCGGAAAATGCCGCAACGATAACCAGTCATACTCGATAATACGTTTACGTGCATTTGCCAGTGTTGTGTTATGTTATCTATCGGCGCAAACGACAGTCGATATTCGTGGTTGTTTGTAGCTCGTACTCCTGGATTATGCCTCGATCCACGATAGGTACGTATTTACGCACGTGCAAAAGAAACGAAAGGAAAGAAAGAAAGAGCTTGTATCCGTAATTTTAGTTGTAATTTTGGATAGAAAATTTCAAAGTCTATCGTCATTAAGAAATTCATGTTAGACGGAAAATGTGAGAGTCAAATAAAATTAAGAGCGGAAAAATTTCAAGGTTGAAACGATAAATATAACAAATATGAATACTGTTTATTTTAATTCTTAGACTCGTCCGTTTTTAGGACAATTTGAATAAAAAAGGGAAAATATACTAAAATATTCCCGTGTATATATACATACGTATCAAAGTTTAAATTATTTAGAGTATCTAGAATTCGTCTCCTGCAATGTCTTTTTCATTATTTTCGATGAAAAACGTAATCGATTGAATTTAAAAGTAGGGCTAGTATCGTGTGTATTTTTTTTAAATGAAATCGAATTTTCCAGTACAGAGACTGGAAGAGGATTAACTCGTAATCGGTCACCTCTGTGGAAAGGAGCACAATGAATTCGGTGAAATTTGAATTTATATTGGAGCCAGACTGGTCTGTGATTGTCTACCGGGCTTACTTACGATTAATTCCGTAATATTCTTGCTTCTCCCGTTCTATTTACCTATACATTATTCATGTCGACGACAGTCGTTGTAAAAATATGACGCAAGTATGAAAGCCCCACATTGGGATTTTCCATTCGCGGTTTTTAGTAGCACATACGTATATTAATAAACTTTATTTTAACTGTGAGAACTGTAGAAAATGTAGGGCGGAAGTTAAGATTGCTACTAATCGTAAGTTATTAAGTTATAGTTGCTAATACATGATCAATCATCATTTTTAATCGTATAACGTCGGTAACTGTAACGATTTTATCTTCAGTTAATGACAAGTTTCATGTACACGTACCAGTTCCATTAACTTGTACGCCATTAATATATCGAGCGAAATTTGTATCCGCACGGACACGAGCAGCGTGTTGTAATTTAGCCACTAGTAAAACACAAATTTGTTGAAATTTTAATCATACGAACACAACCGAGTTGAAAGTTTCTATCCTCTTCCCTCTTTCTATCTAAAAATTAAACTCTTCTTTTCTCTCTTCTGCCCCTCTTGTACCGGCGTGAAGCCTTAGCGCGAATTCGTCAAACATCTACGTCTACTTTCCTCGGCAAATCGCTTTTTCGTATATCGGAATTTCTGAATGTCTACTTCTGTACATCTATCTGGATATCGACATTTTTATAGTTTCGGATATGTACCGTTGGTCTGAATTTTGGTTTTATCGTAGACAGTGATAAGAAGAGACAGTGAATAAATCAACCGAGCACTTAAATATCGATTAATTGTTTCTCGATTCTGAAATAACGTAAAAGACGATCCGTGTAGTAAAGTTTGGAAATAGTAAGGGTAATCCGCGCACCATATTATAATTTCACGTAGAAGAAGAGAACCAAGGAAATTACAGCTCGGCTCGAGCGGAATAAGATTCCCAAAACGGAGTCAACGAGAATCGGCCACTTAATCAAAAAATAAAGTAGGTATTTGTTTTGTATCATTGCGAGTCACGGACATCGTCGCGAGTCGCATGAACGTGTAAACTCGATTGATTTTACCGACACGTCCTGTCGTGATGTTAAACGATATTTAACGTCAAATATTGATCTTCGTTCTTCGTTTTTCATCGCGCGTCGTGTACTCGTTACAGTAATAATTCTACGAGAACAGCGGGTAATTGCATGGAGCGTATTCGATATCTTTTAAGCAAAGACGATGAATTTAATGGAATGAAACGGACACTGATCTGTGAAAAGAGATGTACATACTTGAGTTTAGAAAACGGACCTCGCAAAACTCCAACTACCATGACAACTTAACAAATATATATGTCGGGTTTACATTAGAATCAGGGTTAGGGGCGTGAAACGAATCTTCGTTTGGATTACACGTGTCGTTATGCAATAGAGAAGACATTGACTAGTGCAAATACGATTGTTATAGAACCGGACAAGTAACCGTGGTAATTAGATACTCGAGAAACTAATGACAATGATCTTAGGTTCAATAACGAATCCGCGGTCGACGGGATGATAGATGAACGTGCTCACAAAATCTAAGTAGGACGCGTAATATTCACTGGTCGTAAGGGGTTATTCTTTTCGTCGATGAGATCGCGAGAGAGAATGAATTTCCCGTCCCGATAATGCCACAGAGGAAAACTATATGGGGTGTGTCTGAGGACCCGAGATCATCGGATTCGTCGAGGATAGCCTTCGTTCAGAAGGTGAGGGAATTTGACGTTGCTGCTAATTGGTCAATCTCCATATCGGTGGTTAGAAAAAGATGCTAGCCGCCCTCGAAGGAAAGTGGCTAATGGGAGACGCCGTTCGTTGAAAAATAGGTCTCTCATATTTTCCCGTAGCTGGGACAAAGACTGTTTGTTTGAAGGATTTTAGTCAACTAACATTTAGTTGACTAAAGATAACATTTAGCCTAACATTTAGCCAAGGACACCGGAGCCGTCCCTCTGGAACTTCGGGAAAATCCGTAAAATCGTAATTAAAGTTTACAGTCGTAATTAAACAATTTGCCGTCATCCTGCCCAATTGTACTTGTTTGCGATTTGTGATAATAAACTTGGGCTCAAGGCCTTGTTTGCGATTTGTGATAATAAACTTGGACTCAAGGCGACCATCAGTCGCCAAACGTAGCCCTGGTCAACGGGGCAGGCGCTTCGCCTAACAAAGGTGTGGAATTATAGTATGACCCTCGTTAAAAGAAATACCAATAGAGATACTTGACAGTAAAACATTCCAACGGTTCCTTCGGACAATGAATACCCGATGTTGAGGCACGTACACAGCACAAGTCCAGTTAGCCCGAGAACCCGCTATAAAACCTGGGTTTTTCCGGCAATTAAGATTTTCCAAACGGACAGACGGTCTTTGCCCCAAACTGGCCAATTGACAGCGACGTCAATCTCCCTTACTTTCAGAACGAGGGCTATACTCGACGAATCCGATGATCTCGTGTCCTTAGACACACCCCATCATAGTTTTCCTCTGTGGCCTCATTGGGACGAAAATTCATTCTTCCTTGAGATCCCATCGACGAAGGGAGCAGTGCCTTACGATCAGTACACGTTTGAGTTAGAGCAAGTATATCTTTCATCCCGTTGACCGTGGATCGAGCAAGTATACCTTCCATTCCGTTGACCGTGGATTCGTCATCGAACCTAAGACCAACGTCACTAACATCGCAAGTGCCCAACCACCGCTGTTGATTGTCGAATCGGTAGTGTCCATACTCGTAGCATCAGGCCGTATCTTCGTTATCACACAACGATGGCCAACTCCAAGGGAGGCCTATCAAACGCCCACAACCCTGTTCCTGACTCTTCTTCGACATACATATATCGGGAAAAATTGTTCCTAACCTAACAATTTTCCCAATCAACATATTCTTTATCAACACTTTCCACGTGAAAGCAAGATAGAAATTTCATAGCATGCTTTATGATCGCTCTAACACACATCTCTCGTGTTGATCAGTCGTTTAGATGTCTCTTGATTATTTTTCCAATATACGATTACATACACATACACATATACATACAGCGCTGTGCAAAAGGCTCGATCCGTTTTTATCGATTTTGTTAATCGAAATATGGCTAGACAAGTTATTTTAATCCTTTACGCTTTTAAAACTTTTACAATACGATCATCTAGTACAGTGCCATAAACAATTTTTATACCGTCAATCGCTATCGACTTCTCTATCGTTTTCAACCGACAATGAGTAACTATTATCATCATTCTTATCTATTTTCTAAAAAAAAAAAAAAAAAAAGAAAAAACATTGCTTCGCAACAAAGCTTGAACTGTATAGAAGTAATTAATAGAGTAATTTGTCCTATTTCTTTCAGAAATATGTCAGCGAGGGCTCAACTGTTCGAGACTGCGTGCCAGTGTGCACAGAGAAGGGTGAGTTGCATCCCCGTTACTAGTTTATCGCGATCTATTACTGCGATCCAATCATAAGAAGAAAAGTCTTAGCTTTAACTTTAACACTAGAATTATCAATCTTTAACTCATACGTACGTACTGCATGTTAGTCTATATTCCTAAGGATTATATGCTCGTTATTCAAGAATTATTATCTCCTTTGAAATCTTAGATTAGAATGAACAGGACGTATAGCATCTTACAGGGTAAATAAATGAAAAGTCCATAAATTTAACGTCGCACTAAAAATTTTACGTTTGTGATAATAACATTACATTTGTTTCATTTATATCCGTTTACCGAGTTTCCCAACTGTGTTAATCAATTTCTTTAATCCAACCAATTCTAATATTCGTGTTACCAATCTTTCCATTCTACTTACATCCATTATGTGATTTGTGCGTTGTCATTCGTTATCGAGGCAAGGAGAGACGAAAGTAGAACATTTGAAAATCCCGCTGCTTATCAAAATTGCTACAAATTCACATAATTTCTCTTATCGTAAAGATATATCGTAAAGAATCGTTGGGAAATCGAACAAAAGTCGACTTCATTTTTCTTTTTCTTTCCTTTTCTTTGTGAATGCATGCATTTATTTATCGTTTAAAAGTCAAGATTTAAAAACGTTTAATTACTTTTCTTCGCATTTTAGAAAGAGACCAACATATCCTTAACTCATCGACACCGAGGTATATCTAGCTATCCGGCACATTTCTAGTGGACTAATCACGTTGTCTGCAGACAGTCTCGATACGTCTTTTGTCGACTGTCGGCGGACGATATATTGTAATATCGTAAAAGAGTTTGATTAGAAGTCGGTTGAAAATAGAAAAAACCGTGTACGTCGTCCTTCTGTGGTTGTCTACATTTAAGAGCGCCTATGTGACTAAAGTCTTGCAGAGATATGAAAAAACCAATAAACAACGCTAGAACAGAAGGACAGTTTCGGGTTCAAGGAGGGATGACCGAGAGGTCAGAGTGTGCGAGTCGAAAAGTGAGTGTGTGGCGAGAGTCAGAGTTGATCGAGACATGGAAGAGTAGAATCGAGAGAGCTAATCGAGTCGTTTAAGTGTTGTGGAGTTGAGAGAGAGAGAGAGAGAAAGAGAGAGAGAGAGAGAGAGAGAGATTCGTCGTGACGAGAGTTGCCAAATAACTGTGATGTTATTTGAGATAGATACGAGTATCGCATTTAGTTTCAGTTAAACAAACATCGTTTTCTGTCCAATTAATACCTGTATATTCAATTCATTATTAATAAATTGTAAGTAATCGGGAAAAAATTTATATCTTAATTTCCACGATACTACAATATGCAGACAGTCGACAGTGTAGACGAGGCTGAATCAACGAACGTATACGAGAAATAGATAGATTAATCGATTTAGTGGCCTCTCCGTCGAGAATTTATCTGTTACGACCGTTCGCGGGGAGACGCGGTCGCTAGGAAAACGCGTCAGCGAGAGGCGTAAATTCTCGCTACGATTCGGTTAATCGACGCCGCGAAATAGTCGTTCCCCTGTTTCTGTTAAGATAACAGAGGTGGTTAAATGAATGTAACACAGCATAGTAAGTTATATATCACTGTTTATTCTAACAACTTGTAAAGAAGATAGTTACGCTGATGCGTATGTACGAGATGAGTGAGTGACTGATCTACGGGTGTGTATACCCGGTCAAAGGATGTTGACTGTTCGAAGGATGTAAAATCAGTACTGTTCGGAGACGATGCTGTGGCGGAGGAAAACTAAGGATGGGTGTGTCTAGCGCACGGGGCCATCGGATTTGTTGGTGACGATTTTGGCTAAGAGAGTGAGGGAAATAGGCTTCGTTGTTAATTGGTTAAACGAAGGTTGGTGGACTAGGAAGGGTCTTAGCCACCCTCGATAGAAAGTGGTTAGTAGGACGTGGTTAGTACGTTAGAAAAACTAACTTTCCCTTGTCGAGCCGTAGTAGACAATGGTCTTCAGAAATGCTTCGGAAACAGACGTTTGTTCGGTTCGAAGGACCTCGACTAGGAAATTCCTGAGATGTATGGAGGATACTTGAGACTATCGAGGGTACGCAGTAAGGATCCGAAGACATTTGGCTGCCATCTTGCCCGCAGTGTGTGACCTGGTTTAGGTAGAGCGTTGCCCGATGCAACAAAGACGGATGTTTGAATTTTTCTAGCAAAACAATTGGGCGAAAGATGTCATAGATCGTTCGTTGGGAGTTTTAAGGTTATATGTAGCCTCTCGATTCCTATCGCGGCGATTTACTATCCTCGACAACTTGGTTCCCACGACCGCGTCAACGACTACGACAGAATGCAAAATGATAGGTTGCACGGTTCGCTCTGCCATAGCTGGAAATATCGTTGACGGAAAATCCCAGGTGGTAGGAGGATGAGTTTATGGAAGGTACTTGAGACTATTGAAGGTACGCAGTAAGTATCCGAAGACATCTGGTTGCCATCTTGCCCGCGGTGTGTGGCCTGGTCTAGGTAAAGTGTTACGCGACGTAACACTATCGTTAAAAAGCTTTCCGGCAACGAAAATGACTCCCTGGCGGTTCGCGAACGCGTCGCAACATTTTCATTCTCTGTTATCATTATTATTATTATTATTCCACGATATAGCAACGACGCGACGTACTTTCAACATTTTAAACCTGAATCATTGTATCGTATCATATCGAAGCTCTAATAATTTTCAATCTTGAGAAATTGTCATTTATCGCAACAATGATGTCGCATAGAATAAAAGAAAATGTTCTAACGTGGACACATAAGTAATCGATAAACGAACTTCAAACGAGTCTTAATCAGAATTCAAATCGATCGATCGCATCATTGAAAAAAAGCAATGGAAAGGAATAAGAATTAAGAGTCAGACAACTGGAGCAATGGTCTCGAAAAGCATGGAATCAGCTATCGATGGGGTAAGTGACCTTCACCCGTCAATATCCCAATAAAATAGAGTGTCGAATGTCTGCCGGGAAAAAGTTGAGGAGTTTTGGACATCTTGAACGAACGAGAGAAAAAGAGAAGCAAGTCGTTGGAAAAAATTCGAGTAACGCGATCGAGTGTAGATGAGACGCTTTCAAATTGAAAATCCGGCCTACACCTTTGTAAATTTGTAATCGGCCAGTGCGTTAAAATAGTCAAAATGTTAAAACGGAGCGTTCGCGTCGATGCACTCAACCCTCTCGGAAATTCTGTTTCACCAGATCCTCTGCCCTACCTCTGTGACAATTTTGCTGTCTGGTTGTTTCAAATACATAGTTTTATTTTCACCTCTTTCGCTACAATCTGTTTTATCCTGTACGTGTATTTTCGACTTTTATCTTAGTTTTTATTTTCAAGTTGCCAGGGGTTTAGTTGCGAAACAACTTTTCCGAATAGACTCTCGTATAATGCCGCGACCCCTCTTCATCCTTCTCATTCATCTACCTTTCAGGGAAGAATTTTGACAAATTTTTACGCCACTTTTACTACACTAAATGTCGCCGTCGATTTATATTCTTGTTTACCAGCTGTGCTGGCGAAACGGCTGCTAGAAACAGTTCTCCCATACTCAGAACGGAAAACAAGGAATTCCTCGAATAGACAGAAAAACGCCATTTCAGACTTTCAATACGCTTTTCTTTTTCCTCTTCCTATCTTTTATTTCCGTCTATCTACCACCCTTTTTCTTTTTTCTTTTCTTTTCCTTTCTTTCCTCTATAAATTCATTTTCGTTGAGCTTTTCTCCACGATTCGATTGGAGTAAACGTTAAACGGAAATCCTTTCGTCGATGAACTTTCCTTCTTAACGAGGTCTTTTACCCCTCTTTTGTTTCAATAACTTTTCTCGTCCCTCTGGCCTACTTTTAACAAGTTTCTCATTTGCCTTACTTTTCAATGGCGGAAAGGGGGAGAAAGGTTCTTTCATATTAGAAGAAATTGCCTTATTTTCTGACGATGCGTGAACGCTTTCATTCACGAAACCGCTTCTTCTATTTCTTCCGTTACTGTACGCGCCTTTTACGATGGTTCGTGTTTCTGCTTTTTCGAATTTCATTCAATGAGAGAGGATTATTCGAACAATGATAAGAGCAGTGACTTTATTTAACAACGAACTATATTTAATTGGACTAATCCAACAACTGATTTTATATTGGTTAATATCATGGTTAATGATATAAATTACATTGTGCTGACAATAAATATATTAATAATATCATTGTTCACCCCTCCCCCTCAAATGATAGCTTTTCATATTCTGGAACGTTCTTATTCGTATTAGAACAAAGGAAATTTAGTCTAATTCTTGTAGCAAGCGTTCAAATAATTTCGTCTGAAATTCTCAAAAAATATAGTCTAAAATTTTGAATCTAAAATCCGTGTGGTGTCCAATATTGCAAGATTCGATCATCGGACAAAATAAACTAATTCCTCGATACTAATTATTATGAAGCTCGATCGCGTAATAATTCTTGGAAATGAAATAAAGAATAAATCGTACTGTTTCAGAGGCTTGGAGCACGAGGACGTACTGTTGTCAGGAAGACGGTTGCAACTCAGCTCCATCGTTCGTATCTAGCAGCTGCTTGACGATGCTTGCGATCACGATGGCGACCTTCCTGATGCTTCGTGGCTAATACGTCGTTTCCGGCGACCAAGAGACCGCGAATGGAAGCAACGGGATCCCTGTAACGCGAGAATCACCGCGCTAACCGATTATCGTCGATTATTGTCCTGGCCCTCTTGCTGACTGGACGCTGACCAATCGATAGTCGTCGCCGATCGATCGGTCCAAACCCTATCGCGTTCCTACCCTAATCGATTTTTCTTATCGCCGTTTCCTGTTTCGACTTTGACTTTCAACGCTGATTTTGATTCTGCACGTTGGATAATTTCCTATAATCACCCCTCGCGAATGCAAAATATTTTCTGCTTCTTAATAGCAACGACTTATTTCTCCTTCTTGTTCTTCTTCTTCTATGAATTGATTTTAGTCACGAGATTGGAACAATGATAATCATTTAGGATAATATCGTTAAACGAATGGAAAATCTTTCATGACTTTTATTCTCGTCCATTTTCTCTTCTTTTCTCCCGGAGCAATTTATCTTTTCATTGTTGAAAGAAATATCTATCGGAGAACTGTATTTGCTAATGAACATGGTTTTACTAGTATAATACTCGGTTCGAACAAATTCATGTACAGATAACAACAAAATATAAACAACCAAGTGCTATCATTCCTTGTGGTTAAAAGTAATTCAAATATAAGTAGGAACATGATTCTCTTCCTTTCAATTTTTCAGTCTTTGTTTTCTAGAACCATTCGCGAACGATCTTATTCAGCTTAAATTTATTATATTAGCCATTTAAAATACTTTTATTTCGTTCTACAAATAAGGCTGATTGTGAAAAAATTCAATTTTCTTTCTTCTCCTAGGAACTCTTACGCGGGTACTCTTCTCCCCGGCCGAAACATTTCCGACATATTCCCAATCTAAATGCATATTTTTATATAAATTAAACGTATATTCTAAGTTTTCAAATATTTAGCATCGTAATTATTATAATCGCCGGCGTATATGTTGCCTAGTAAATTATTTTATATAATAATTCTGTTGACGCAATTATTATGTCCTTGCGAAACGAATCGAATATTCATTACCATTGCATGTACACTCTTAGAAGAAGAGCATCATACCGAACTTGTAGTTACCCTATATACTGTTCCATAAATTCTCAACTATCGGTATATTCGAATAAAAATTGACGACAAAGCAGGTTGCTAAGATACTTCTTATAAGACAGAAAGTACTAATTTTAAGCGTTCTTACATTTATTTCATCCTCTGAGGAGACAAAGTTAAATTTTAGTAGCAACGAAGAAGAAACTCGGTCTTACCGGTGAATTTCCATCGATCAAGCCGAATTTACATTATTTTACTTTGGAGGAACGGTGTAAATTCGGCTTCCGATGTTCTTCCTCTTACGCTGTTGCTCGCCTCCAACATCTTCGCTACTGATCCTTCCATTCGATTTATTCCAAAACTTTCCATTCCATCACTGTGTTTCCTTGACTTCCCGTTCACGGTTGCGTCCCGTCGCCATTATGAGCGTTGGATTTCTTCAGTCAGGCGTCCGCTCAAACTCGAGTTAAACCAATGAAACTCATTCTTCGAGATTTTGAACGTGTACTTCGATATCTTATTCGTATTATGTACTCGTTTTGAACATTTTTTAGTATCGTGGAATAATTTTTCAACTTCTTAACTGATCAAACTAAGTTAATTCACTATTTAGATTCACGATTCACGATTAAATATAATTTTTGTATTTATAGAATATTTATTATTTAATCAACTAACCGTTATAGGTTTCATTTGGGGATTAAACAAGCTATATCGCATAGAAGACTTTTATTTTCGAAATAAACGATATTCAAAAACATATCGATCGAATCTACCGAAAATATAGATCTAAACCTGTTGATAAATCTAGAGCAAAGAATGAACCTAAATCTATAAAAAATAACCTGAAAATATTGGAAATGTTTTTATATACAGGTATATGTAGGTATGTATGTACGTACATATGTATGTATAAATACATACACACATAAAATAATACAATAATCTTAAAAAAGAAGTTATTTATCACTACCACATTGATATATCGTTTCATTTTTGTTAAACCACCATTTTTGTTAAATTATACCACGTTTATACTTGCATCGGATAAAGCCGCCTTATTAAATTAAATGTTTACATTGTATTTGATTTATCTAAACTCTGCAGATATTCTAATTTATAATTATTCATTGTTCAATTTTTTACTTCGACTTTAGTAGTTTTTCTTTTTCATCTTATGTCGATTGGGAGGCTCGAAGAGTACGGTAGATTTCTCTGTCGAAAGTGAATTTTACTTGGCATTCTGTATTTAACAAGAACGATGATCTTTTTTTCATTTTCAATGAAAAATTACTCCCTCCCCGTATTCTTTGTCCGCCGCGAAACCTTACTTCTCCGCTTCCCGCCTTAAAAGACTTTTCCTTTGATTCTCGATAATCGATTTTCGATTTCTTCATTCCCTCAGAATCCTGCTCATTTTACAATCGGTTTTCCATTTGGCTCCTCAACTTCTTCCATTTACCAAGCTTATTCTTCCACATTTTCCTTCGTAACGCCTGCTTTTTTGTTTCTTCGCTGAACCTTTCCCAATACCCGAAGTATGTTCTTCGAGTCGCTCCTTCCACGACGTTCATCCGATCCTTTTTCTCAACGAGACAAATCAATAAATAAAATAAAGCAAAACGAAGGGAGACAAAATATAAAATAAAGCACAAACAAAAGAAATATTAAGCCAAATATAACCGCGACGACTATCGATTCCAGTCGAGCAAGGATGGTCACCGTGATCTCGAGGCAAAATATGTCGGACCACAAGAAACTCGTGCTCGTGATCTCGATGGCGAATGAGCGCCAAACGTGAAATCGGAAACAAAAAAGAACACAGCGCGAAGATAAAGGGATTCCCAAAGTGGCTAGATCGTTCGTGGTCGATCCATCTTTCTATAGATCGTAAGATTTCAGAACGAAAAAAGATGGAGGATTTGCGGGTAAACAACGCGATGAAAGTTGAAAGAGGAGAAAGATAGGAACCGCGGAAGAAAAGAAATTGAACCCGCGTGAATATACATACAATGTATATTGTGTAACCTACATACAGACAACAGTTTAACGAGGAACAGTGAGGATAACAATGATAACGTTATTACTATGGATTATTATTACTATTATTATTATTGATTTATTATTATTATTATCGTGAATTATTATTACTATATTGCTACTAATTACTACTAATCACTACTATTACGATTGACTATTACCATTACTAAAGATTAACGACACTAAACAGGAAACATCACACCGAATATACATAAACTGAATTATGCATATATGTATGTGTGTGTGTGTGTGTGTGTGTGTGTGTGTGTGTGTGTGTGTGTGTGTGTGTGTGTGTGTGTGTGTGTGTGTGTGTGTGTGTGTGTGTGTGTGTGTGTGTGTGTGTGTGTGTGTGTGTGTGTGTGTGTGTGTGTGTGTGTGTGTGTGTGTGTGTGTGTGTGTGTGTGTGGTATACACACATATGTATATATATGTATATACATATATATATATATGTATACATATATATATATATATGTATACATATATATATATATATATATATGTATACACACACACACACACACACACACACACACACACACACACACACACACACACACACACACACACACACACACACACACACACACACACACACACACACACACACACACACACACACACACACACACACACACACACACACACACACACACATATATATACACACACACACACGTATATACGTATACGTATATATATATATATATATATACACATATATACATAGTAGAGATAAAGACCGATAGACGGCGAAATTGAGTGGAAAGTTTGTCGATTATTACTATTACCGTATTGTAACTTGTAACCGCTTTGAAGTAGCCTTAATAATTGTAATTAACGAACGCACGCGTGAGATATTAAAACAAACTGCGTGTACGTTATTGGTTGGCGTGAGGGGACAGCGCATTGCCCCGTTTCAATTCTCTCTACATTATATCTTTCTTTCTTTCATTCTTCTTCTTCTTTTCCTTTCTTGCTAAATCAAATCTACCAGGAAATCACCCTGTGGAATCTCGTGAGATTTTAAATTTAAGGAATAGCTTCTCAATCAACAGTTTCAATTTTTCCACAATTTCACTATTTCCACACTGCTCACAAGGTCTGTCAATTAACAGATTATTCGTCTAACAATGAATCGATTATCAAGAGTAGAGATTTACGAGAGTAGCGATTGTCGCACGAGGTAGTTTCCGGCTCCATTCTATCACCGAAGCACCGGATTACATGTCCAATGCTCTTTCTCTCTGTCTCTGTCTGTCTGTCTCTCTCTCTCTCTAGGCTTTACAAATTTAAATCAAATTAAAAAAAGCATAAATTTTCCTTCTCTACCAAGTTCTTTATTTTTTTTATTAAATGGTAAACCGTCGTGCTCGCGATTTTTTTAATAATTTTACAAATTAAATAAGAAACAAAGTGCCACTTATTTTCAATTGTCATCATTTTTAAAACACGGAATTCGGCCACATGATCGAGATCGAAACGAGCACATCCGCTCTCTTCTCTCCGCTGACCAGCGTCTGAAAATTCCTAAACAGTATGAACGTAGTACTATTCATAGTAGTACTATTAGTCGGTAAGAGTAAGCCAAGCGAGTCACAAAACTGTAGAGGAAACAGTAATCTATCAGTTTCGCGAACGAGTGCAAAGAAAAACTAAAAAATCTAAAAAAAAGATCACGAACGTAGCGCGTCAGAAATTTACTAGCAATTACATATCTGTTCTTGTGAAATTAGGCCAAGAGACGATTTATCTAAAGTGAGACTTAGCTCGAGTCTAGCGTAAACGATACTTAACGCTTAATCAGTTTCCCGTCATGGATGTCGACCGATCGATTAACGTTGTTGTTATTGTTGGGCGAATGTTTCGAGGTAGATATAGTAACGTGAGACTGTGAAGCGTAAAGTAAATATTTAAATTATTCGACTTCTTTAGGAAGATAACGCAAGTAAGCCGATTTATCTAGTCGCGGGTTTTTGATGAAACGTTATTTCATTCACGATGAAAAAGTTAGATTAAGTTTGGGTTAGGTACTGCCATTATGCACTGCAATGGAAATTTGTGAATTTGAATAGATAATGGATATAACGGAGAAATAGTATAACATGTACACGATAAAAAGAATTAAAGGTGGAAAAGTTAGCGCAGAATGGAATGGAATTTGAAATAAAAATTTCTCGTCTGGCGAGATCCGACGTAAAAATATATCAAGGCGCATCAAGGAAAGTACATGCATATACGATGATGAAAATTGTTTTAATATTCAGTGGTATCAGTATTGGAAATTTGTCAAGTCACGGTATCATGCGATATGGTACAAATGTTAGAAATTTGTCAAACGTTGTCACGTTGCAATATTCGTCATTCTTCCGATATTCACACCATATCCTTCTGCGTAACTATTCTTATATATAGTTAATTATATACATGCGTGTATATAATTAATATTCTGGTACTTACAATTAGTATAACGAAAGACACGATCACGAATTGAACTTAACAACGACACAACACGAACCACTCGTTGAAGCTTCCAATGTTTAAATCCGATAGCAATAAGGCGCTTCAGGCTTGAATTACGAAAAGCTACACGAGTTATCGATTTGATAATTAATTAAGAAAGATGTTTCGTCAGAGACGCAGGAGAAATCGAGTACGAATATCCTAATTCTATGATATTTTGAAGTAAAGAAAGAATGTTCGCATTACGGGCACAATCGTCGTGGATTGCCAGTTCAAGTATCGCTTACACTTTATCCATGTATTTTTATAACGCAAAGTGGTGTACGCGTAGATTCACGATCGTTGTGGCTCAAACCTCCATCTTCCACGCAGACATATGATACACGCGTGCATGATGATTGAACTTAACCCTTTCATAGGCGGCGAAAATAGTTGAAAATAAATTTCCCTCTTCCTCTATGCTGCTAAATCAAACGCGTAAACAATCGTAGAAAACGGAAAATCAAATTTTAGTATAAATATGAATTTAATAAAATATATTCGGCACAGCTGATGATATTTACCGCCATATTATTTAGCACCCTTGTTTCTAAGGGATGGTACAAAGGAAAGAGATAAATTGGTTTTACCGAACTAATCGCACGTTTTATTTAATATGGT